CCCGCGGCCCTGCCGCAGGTGCCCCCGGCCTGCCCCACTTCCACCTTCGCGGCGGCCCAGAGCGAAGCTGAATCGGAGCCGGGCAAAATTGTGCCAAATCAGCGTTTGAGCCGAGAGCCGGGCGCTGGCGTCAAGCAGCCCCGCAACAGAGAGAAGGAGAAAACAGTCAAAGCGGAGCTGTTTTTAGCCTCTGCTCAAACGCTCGGGAACAGGCGTGAAGAGAGGCCTCCCGTCTGGAGCAGCAGGCTCGGCGGCGCAGGGCCATTTTTAGCAAGGAGCAAGTTTTGCTAATGATGCCGCCGACCCTTGCTAGCCGTACTCGAGGGTACCCGGCCCTGCCCAAGGTCCCCCTGCACCCACACGTGGCTTTGCCAGCCCACGGGGAGCTCTGTCAGCCCAGAAGAAGCTTTGCTAACCTGTGGGAAGCTTTGCTGACCCAAAGGAGTTCTGCTGGCTCAGAAGGAGTTTTGCTGGCCCACGGAGAGCTTTGCTGGCCCAGAAGAGCTTTGCTGGTCTCCAGAAGGAGTTTTGCTGGCCCAGAAGGAGTTCTGCTGGCCTATGGGGAGTTCTGCTGGCCCAGAGCGAGCCTTGCTGGCCTGCAGGGATCTTCCCTGCCTTGCAGCTTTGCTGGCCCAGGAGATCTGCTGGCCCACAGGGAGCTTTGGTAGCCCACAGAGAGCTTTTCTTTACCCAAAGGACTCCCAGCCCATGAAGTACATCTTTTTCTCTCCTTTTTTTTCTACAGCAAAGACTGAACTGTCCTTGGCCGGAAATACACGTTTCTCCGCACCTGGTAGGGAACTGCACAAACCACGTCCAATTACCAATGAATTCCCTGACGGTGATAAATATTTTCCCTCCCGGTGAATATCCCTGTTATACACACGCACTTGAAGCTCTTCTCCTGGCACTGTGGCAGCCGCCTCTCTCTGCGCTCAGGGCGCACGGCTAGGTACAGCCGGCTGTGAGAGTCTCTCAGAAGATGCTAATATCCCTCGAGTGCCTGGGGACCGCCAAAGGTTTCTGTCTTCGAGTGGAAACGGGAATTAAACCCTGCTGCTCTGTGACTCCTCTGATACGCTTGGATACGCAACGGGCTCTGCTTCGGAGTTTGCCGGAGCAGCTGGTCCTCGCCGAGGTCTCTCAGCCTCACGCATCCTTTTCCTCCCACGTTGTTTCGAACGCCTCTAACATCCCCGGCGCGCGGCTCCTCTCCGAAGCACCCGGAGAGCCGGGGCCGCGGCGGTTGTGCTTGCGCCAGCGCGCAGCAGACGGGCCGGCTGCGGCCAGCCCGGGTGGCCCGCGCCA